CATTGTAAAGGTTTAACTCTACTTTCAACACTTTAACTTTAAGATTATTAAAGAAGCAAGACGTCCGATAGTGAAATATATCGACCGACAAAGAACACGTTGGTGGGGACGGGGGTGGTGGGGGAGCCTGGCAGAGACAACTCAATCTATTTAGAGGACAAAGATGACAGTGGTGAGGTAAATTAATATGTGTGGACAGAAAACAATTAACGTGAGGTATCATACAAGAGGATATAGTATGAGGAGAAACAAGCCATACTAAAAAGAGTTCAGCCAACTTTTTCAGTAAATCTTTTTGAAAAAGTCGTCAATAACCAGAAATAAGCAATGAAAGACGAAAAAGTCAAAAACACCAAAGCTTCACAGAGGCATAGTTCTATATGTACAACCGGCAATTTTCTACGAATCTAGAAATAAAAGCCATAAAAAAAACCGCAGACACAACATTAATGTATACAAATCGCGGTTTGTCTAACAACAGAAAAAGACAAATGATTGACACCAGTTGTTTCGGACATGTACTCACCGGCACAGTACTGGCCGCACGTGACCGACTGTTGCTGCTCACCCTCACACGGGAGACCGCCGTTGTAAGGCGAGGGCACAGTGCACGTGCGTGAGCGCCGTTGTTTGCCTTTGCCGCACGTCACGGAGCATTCAGTCCACTCGTTCCAGGATGACCAGCCGCCATTTTCTGGGAAAATAAAAGGTAGGATGAGACAGTTGTCTGGTTTCCTCGATGTATGCTTGTTTATGGCGTGAAAAGAGACGCAGAAGAGAAACAACAACAATAAATAACAACTGCACTAACAATGATAGTGATGATAAAGCAGACATTACTATCATCATTGCCATCATCACCACTACCAATAACAGCAGCAGCAACAACAACAAAATTCAGAAGAAGAAAAAACCAGACAACGAGGAGCAGCACCATGCATAGTTCATTGATAATGTTTTCTTTAAATAAAGACTCAAAGAACAAAAACCCAAGTAATCGAGCTTTTTGAGAGTGTGTGCGAGAGTACTGGATAGACAGACAGGCAGTCAGACAGAGACAAAAAGTTGGACAAGCACACACAATTCACAAGAGAAAGACAGTGGGGAGGAAGGGAAACCATGTACGACATCATCAACAAATGCAAGAAAAAGACGGAGGTAGCAAGATTGATTTTTGACCGATAATGATTGTGAGAAAGGCAGTGTGTGTGTTTAAAACGATGAAAAGAGGGTCAGGGGGGAAAAGACGTGATAAATCATACATCTCAAACTCATTTTACTGCACCAGCCGTACAAACACACCAACATTTTCAATCAAGATACAAAAGAGCACACAAGTGAACGACCGTGCCACAGACAGACAAACAGACGACTCTCCACGGCCGCCGGTACAAGACGAGGGTCGCGGGTGACAGATTAGAGTGTCGACGTCACGTGGAACAATGTGGACACAGCGAGGTCTTGAGTCAGTTATCAGTCTCTTTGAGACTCGAGAGATGCCACGTCTTCATTTGGACATTAATTTTTCAGAAAGGAGGTCGCTGCCAGCTGCTGCGGAGGGAGGTAGGCTGCTTCTCATACTGCTGCTGCTGCTACTACAACGACCTTTGCGCTTGAGTTGCTGCCATACACACGTACAAAGACAATTTTTGTTCTTTCCCTTCTTGATAGAGACACTCCAATAGGTAGTGTTAAAGAAAACAACAGCTGGCAGTCAAAGTCAGGGAGGAATGCACTATTGGGGAGGGAGCGTTGAGTGTGTGTGTGGGAAGGGGGGGGGGGGTATACAGCGACAGAAACGACAAGACAGACAACTGTACATATTTTATATGAAAAAGTGAAAATGAAAAACAAGAGCACATTTTCTGCTATCTTTTTTGTTTCAAAAACAGAGAGACGAAAGGAGTGTTCGTTTCTTTTTTTTATGGCAGCAAGAATGAAAACAAAAACCAACTAAACAGTCCCGCTTTGTCGGTAACATAGACCTAACTGGAAAGTAAAAATGCTAAAAGTGAGATGGAAAGCCGATATACAAAATGTAATACATTTCTCTTTCGTTACACTCGCTCAATGCAGGTGCACCATGTCTTCATATCGTTACCCATGACATTGCGTTGAATGGAACAAGCAACTAAAAAGGAATGAAGACGCGATACCTTGAACTATGTAAGAAATACTTGGCAAATTTCCACTGAACTTTTTCCTTTGTTTATGCTGTGCGCACGTGGTAGATTATATATTTTTGTGTCGTTTGATCAGGCTAAAGAAGGTTGGGG